TTAGCTCACCTGAAATTTCTGCTCTCTTGTGACATTCCAGTCCAACTACTGCTCTTCAGGCCATGGGAGACCCAGTGCCTTGAAATTCAGTATCATGTTTCTGTTTAAAAAGTCTGTGTCACGCTAACCATTTGGTTCTGCCATGCTGATAAGAGATACTCATGTACAGCTCTTCAGGTAGAAATTTTGCCTAGTTACATCCATATCCCCCTTTCCTTTCTGTACATGCTCAATGTATGCTTAAGTTGAATCTGTTAGTTAAAGTGGTATCTTTAGGACATCCAACTTAACACAAACTACAAGCTAATTATATCAGCTTAGATGAAACGTATAGCTCAAGTAAGTATGATACTGGGTTGGTATTTAAGACATGCTAAAAAAAAAAAATCTATGATTGTTTTCTTGAGACCCTAATGTTTTCAGAAAGTAAGTTTTCTTATTTACGGTTTTTAATCTCAGTAAATAAGACCCTAATGGGATCTCTCACAAAATGCCCCTGAGTGCCTGTCTCAGAGGCACAGAGAATGCTCCCAGTGAACACCAGGAACTCAGCAGCTGGGTATGTAGGCAGGTAGAGGCAGATTGCTTTTCCTGTGACAACTACTTCATCCTTCCCACTGTTTGAAGCAATGAACTATAGAGGAAGCACACTTGACTCTCACCGAATGTCTTGTGCTCAGAGCACAGCTGTTGAATGACCCGCATTAAACCAGACTTCATGCTGATCTGTTGTTGTTCCTCTCAACTTTTTTTAATAGTTAAGGATGAATATGTCAACATGAGTCCAGCTTTATATACTGTGTTTATAGACAGAAACTCCTAGAGAAGAGTCTAGGTTGTTAACAGTGCTCAGAACATCTGGAGCTCCCAGCTGGCGCACACTCTTCCCTCAATACTCGGAGGAATCACTCTCCACTTGACTCCTGTTTGTTAAACTTATTAATTGCATTTGATACTTGGTCTGCGTCAGTGGTCATTACTCATTAACTTCTCTGCCCAAACCAGTGTTTCAACTTAAGGATTTACTGACAGTGAAGGACTCCAGTGAATCTATGTAAGAGATCGTGAGGGAAGACTGATGGAGTTCAACAGCACCCACAGCTAGTCCTTTAATAGAGGGACCAGTAGGGGGGAAATAGGAACAAATCTGAGGAAAGAAAGTTCGGAAAACACCTCTGGAAAACACAGAGGAAGCAAGCATTGGAAATGTCTTTCCTAGATTTTGTCATTTATACCTCAATAAAGCTGGGGGAAAAATACTTTGACTCTGGTAACTCCTCAAAGACTTTTTTCGTCATCTGGCCTCTCCCAACAGGCTATGACTTCAAGGGTTTAAAACTTGTTGGTAACACTTCTGAGGAAAATGTGAAGCCAGAGTAGTTCTCACTGATCTTTTTCTACTATTACAAAATCCCAAGTGTTTATCAAACTAATCTTACTGTGGGAAGAAGAGATGCTCTTGGGGATTGGATAGAATACAAGGCAATGCATCTTCATCCTCTTTGTGAGATGAAAGGACCTTAGTGCCAAAGCCCGGGGTGGGAGGAGAGGTGGCAGGGCCTGCCTAGTTTGGCCAGTGACAACAAAGAGACAGTATAAAGGCATCAGGTATAGAGGTCAGGCATTATGGAGGGAAGGTATGTCTCTCCGTAAGGATGAAGGCACCACATTAAACAGAATGGACAAAGATGAGCTACGTAACCATTATAAGTAGAGTTACCCTGCTGGTTGGGAGGAATGTTAGGTGGAGAAGCAGTCTGGAATGCTATGATATTCACTAAACTGTAAGAGTGCCAGAAAGGTAATTTGAAACCAAAACGATCTTATCACTGAATTTGTATTTATTCACTGTTTCATCTGCATGATTAGAGAAAGATTCACACACGGTTCCAAATGTTGACTCTGAAACAGGTAAGAAGAGAATGAATACCCACGGGTGGGTAGTGTGATAAAGCAAGCTCTTAGCCAAGAAAGCAAAGTGGACGTCTAATTGTAATCCTTAAATTGCGCTTCTCAATGACGTGTTTTGACTTGTGACTTTGGTAACCTCCTCAGATGTTTTCAGGGCTTTACTCTGTGTGTCAAATGGGGCAAAAGCTTAAGATATCACTGAGGTTTAGTTATGTGGTCTTGAGATTAAAGTAGTGCCCAGAAGGCCTGAAGATAACTAGCACATTTCACTGGTTTCATGGAGTTATAGGAAGTCAGTTTCTTTTACCTCACAGTTGGGCTAACTTAGTCACGGATGGAGAGCCAAATTAATAATCTCACGGACAGAAGAGTTAGATCACCTGGTGATTAAGACAGAAGAGGTCCTGTATCAGGTTGCTTGCATGGGAATTTCAGCTTTACTGCTGCCTTGCTGTGTAAGCTTGTGCAAGATACTCAAATTCTCCGACCTTGATTTCCTTCTCTATGAAATGGAGATTACAGAATCTACTTCATGGGGTGGTTGTATTAAATGAGGTAATATACACAGGGTGCTTAAAATAGTATTGTGTAAACAGTAAGTGCTCAATGAATGTTAAGTGTGATGACACCTTTAAATATTTTTATTGGCCAAAAGGCAGTAGTACCTTGCATTTCTTAATTATGCTCTGAGGCAAGTAAGCCCCCCACCCCCGCTTTTTTTTAAGCCTCCTCTTATGGTACAGACTGTCTCAAACAGTCCAAAATTGATCTAGCCCTAAGGCTTCCAGACTTCTGGGAACGAAAGAAATGCCTCCAGTGACAGAAGGGCAAGGGGTTCCCTGGACAGCGTTCATGCTTCTTCAATCCTTGTTAGCCCTTTAGCTTCAAGACCCAACCCATGCGATTATCTCTTGATCACCACCCCACGTTTTTCTACATTTCTACTTTTATTAAGATATCAAATATTTCTTGTAATTCTCCAATCATTTATGTATTTTTTTCCCTTATAATTTCATTTCGAAATGGTGCAGATATAGCCTTGGCAATTTGCCTCTAGGCTTTCAGACTCCCAGAATCTAAAATGTGGCTCTCTCTTGGGCCAAATATCTAAGTCTTGCCCATGCTCTCTCCTTTTACCACATCCTCAGAATTGAAATGTTATCATTTATAAGTAGACGTAACATTAGGAAAAATAACCAAGTTACCCTAAAAAACTTGTAGAATTGGTTCTATAATAACTTTAGGGATGTCATTTTGTCTTTAAGCAACCCAGAAACCAAAATGCTAGTCTGTTTTTTGAGAACCTCTCAAGAAGGAGATTTCTAAGCCTCCCTTGGTTTGAAGAGTTTAAAGAGGATCATCTGACAATGAAGCCCAGAGGAAGGAGAAAGAACAAAGCTGAGAATCAGATCTCTGATGTGGTCACAGGTGCTTCCACACCTGACCCCTGAACTACAACTGGAACTGGGAGGTGGGGCCCGGGGGAGAGGCGCAGAACACCTGTTCTGAAATTACCACGTGACTGAAACCAGATAATGTAAGGAAGTCTCCCTACTTTGGGACACGCAGAGTTTAGACGACTCACTGTCAATACTGGTCAGACTTCTAAAACTTCAAAATTTCATTTGAACTACTGAAGAAGCATTAGTGATTTATTTTTTCCCCTAGAATTTTCAGAAGTCAAGTCATCTGGTTAAGTTGCTCCAACAGTTTCTGCCAAAGCTTTATAGCCACTATTGAGTAATATGGTACCGGGTGGTATTAAATCCTACTGCCCTGAATAAAACAGAGTTTGGATTACACGTTGTGGCAAAGACTGTTAGCCATCTACTGGAATCCATTCTTTCCTTAGGCACAGAGCTAGATGACATTCTCAGACCCTCTTGTAGTTAGGTGAGCCATGAGATCAAATTCTGTTCTGGAACCTGAATACAAGTGAGGCTGGGGGTAAAGGGGTTTAGAAAGGTAGCTTTGCCCCCCCACCCCATGCTCTCTATTTCTGTTGCAAAGAAAGGAGTCCCCACCCCACCGTACCCCACCAGCATAACTATGGAAGCTCCATGTCAAAGAGCTCAGCCAGCTAGTTTTCCCAATGACTGCATATGGAAGAGGCTCCTGGCAACAAGGATCTTGCCCAGGACTGATATATGAGTGAGAAATAACCTTATACTACATTTAAGCCATTACATATTTGGGTGTATTTATTACAGCAGTTTAGCAATGAAGGGTGGCAGAATAGGTCACCCCAAAATGTGTCATTTTGGCATAAGAATTATTTGGAGCTAAAGGCACTTCAAAAACAGCAGGTATAAGAAGGGCACTCCGACCTCTCCTTTTCCTCCTGAAAGCAGGTGATAAAACTCCCATGTAAAATATGTCCTTCCTATAGCAGTAGGAAAGAAACATTCTTATCACCAGAGATGGGGAGTTGAGGCCAACGGAAATCTGTACAGACCTTGTTAAAATAACTCTCATCTTCCTTTAGGCCCCCTAAATATCTTAGTGACTTTCCCACAATTACCTCTCTTTGTTCAACCTTGTTTATAAATGCTTAGGCCTAGCCATTCTTGGGGCTTGGTTTTCCTATGGGACTCTCATGTACACGTAAAAATCTATACCCTTTTTTCCTGTTCATCTGTCTTATGTCGATTTAATTCTCAGGCCCAGCCAGAGATCCTAAGAAACTACAGGTAAAGTCTGGCCTCCCCTACAACAGATCCCAACTACTATATATGCCATATTTTTAAATTATATACTCTTTCTAAAATCACATGGGAGTAGAGATACCGTACTGTGTTTTAGCACTTTTTTACTTTGTCAAAGATGCTTTCATATGCATTACTGCTCAGTGCCACAGTAAGGGAGCTTAAAAAGTCACAATTTAAAGTAATAGAAGTAAACATATACTTCCAACTTCTGATATTATGCAATAGAAAATTCCATAGAGCCAGTAAAAACAAAACAAAACAAAGCAATTAAATGAATTTTCAATTCCCAACCTGAGTTGATAACAAATATACTCAGAAGATTTACTTTTGTGGTCCAAATTACCAATAGGAAATTGTTACGAATGTCATACTTGTCCTTACCTGCTAAAGAGGACATATTGATAATGATACCGCCTTCACCTCCGTTTTGCTTACTCATATAATCCAAGCCAAGGTAGGTTCCACTGATAACAGAAACCTAAGCCAGAGGCATAAACAGGAAAAACAACATAGCCGTTATACTTTATAATATATCCCAGAGTGAAGCTTTTATGGCGATTGCAGACACCCAGGGAGATTTCTGCAAATACTATCAACGAAAGACTTTCAAGCGGCTGCTTGCCTTTTTTTAAAGCGAGTCATTGACTAGCTTCTCTTTTGTTTGCCTACAGTTGCAGAGCTTCTCACATCTCTGCAAAACTTGATTTGGTTGCCCAATCTGAGACTTTATGAAAAAAGTTTTATTCCTACAGTGCTTTGTCACTTGACCTCAAATCTCGGCATCTTCGAGAATTGTACATGCAGTATTCTTTTTCTTCTCTAAATATTGGGTAAAAATTTATTTACCCTTCTTAGCATATGGTTCTCAGATCCAGGTCTTTCACATTTTAATTCTCTTGGATCTTGGAATATATAATAGTGGAAAACCTTGATTTCCTACATGGTTTTCATGTCCTTTTTTTTTTTAATTTCTAATAAAAAGTCTATTTGGCATTTGTATCTACTTCTTCCCCAAGTAACTCACGAGGAAGGTGATCTCCCCAGGTTTAGTGTGGACACTGATTAATTTTGTTCAGTCACAGAAATCCCATTCTCTGTGCTAGTGACTGGTTTAGGAGCCTACATGGGACCCATTTCCAGCCAGTGAGACCTGAGGAGCAGTCAGCTAGAGGGGGTCCGGGTCAGGGCAGGGCAGTAGAAGAGGATGTGGCTGAAAAGACTGTTGCTTTTAAGAAAACCAGAAAGAGGGCACCTGGGTGGCTCAGTTGGCTGAGCGACTGCCTTCGGCTCAGGTCATGATCCTGGGGTCCCGGGATGGAGTCCCGCATCGGGCTCCCTGCTCAGCAGGGAGTCTGCTTCTCCCTCTGACCCTCCCCTGTCTCATGTGCTTTCTCTCTCTCATTCTCTGTCTCTCAAATAAATAAATAAAATCTTTAAAAAAATAAAAATTAAAAAAAGAAAAAAAAAGAAAACCAGAAAGAAATGATTACATTAGTCCTTTTCCATCCCTCTGTATGGGCGTGGGGCTGGAATACACAGTTACACTGCTAGTATCCTTAAGCTGAAAGCTCCATGAAGGAAGGCAGACTGGAGAGATGAAAAGAAACTGGGTTCTGGGATCACTGTGTGGCAGTATCAAGCTCTCGTGATGTCTGTGTTGTGTGAGATCACATAATTCTCTTACTCAGTTTCAGGACCCCGACTTTTCGGTCAGGTGGACACAGGGTCTTCTGTAATATCTGTCACTTAATCTTGTTCATCACTCTCGTACTGTCTTTTTGAGACTTTACTCTGATTGGTTACTCACCTCCCCGCGTAGGCAACTTTTCTGTTGTATTTTTTTTTTTTTAAGATTTTATTTGTTTATTTGTCAGAGAGAGAGAGAGAGAACAAGCAGGGGGAGTGGCAGGCAGAGCGAGAAGCTGAGCAAGGAGCCCGATGCGAGGCTCAATCCCAGAACCCCAGGACCATGACCCGAGCCGAAGGCAGATGCTTAACCGACTGAGCCACCCAGGCGCCCCTGTTGTATTCTAACCTTGGAGAATTTGCCACTACCAAAAACAACCTGTGGTACAAAACTTCTACTTGAAGCCTTATTTTCCCTTTTAGATTTAAGAACTCCTCTCCCTTCCAACTCAGACTTTGAAAAGGTGAACATTTTCTTTTGGTATCTTAATTCCTTCTTTTTGCATTCTTTACAATACGGCAAAGAAAATGACACAACAGTAATGAGTCTGAAACTGAGAGCATATAGTGGTGGTTACCTTCTTTTTATTTTAAAAAGTCCATTTGGAGTTTTCTTGTCACACATTCAACGTTGCCACTCTACCTAATAGTAGTTCTAGAACAAAAAAGTAAATTGAAGATTCTATTCACTTAAGCCATGTGTCAGTTTGATATTAAGTAAGCTTAGGGAGAATGAGGAAAATCTCCACATGATTCCCTTCACAAAGAAAAAATACAAAACATTTTATAAATGGTTTATATAAGAAGGAAAAAATGTACATGGCTGAAATAACTGAAGTCAGTTAGATTCTGGTAGTTTCTGCCTAAGTCTCTAGCAAGTCTGAACACAATTTCTGTTTACGCATATTGGCGCTATGCTTTTATTCTCAGGTATTTATAGCTTTGCTGACACCCTGCTTTTGTGTTTTCAACATCTACTAGATGCAGCCAGATAGAAAGTTTGGGAATATTTAAGCTTCAATTTTTTAAAAAAGGAAGATTTATTTCCTTTTCCTTTTTCCTTTCCTTTTCCTTTCAGGTCTTTGGTGGAGGAAGACAAAGGATTATTTTCCCATCTATTACCAAGTTAAGAACTGAGGAACTTTTCAAATGAAAGTGTTCTTGGAATAAATCTACAAAACAGGGTTTAATGCTTTGGCTGGGGCATATGTCGTCCTCTCCTGCAACAATCTCTTCCTTATCCCAGGTAATAGATTCAAGGAAATGTTAAGAAACCACAGAATAAAATGTTTTTGTTAATATTCTATTTCTTGTCTCTTGGCAATATTTACATAGCACATAGAGTGGGTCACTAAAATATCAAGCACCTAGGGGAAAAAAAGAAAATGAAAATTATGACGTATTCTAGCTACAAACAGAATACCAGGGATCTGTATTATTTTAATCTATCACAAAGGTACTCTCAATTTTGTACTTGACCTTCAAAAGATGGTGTACTCGACTCTCAAAAAAAGAAAAAGAAAATCCCATGGGGCGCCTGAGTGGCTCAGTCGTTGGGCCTCTGCCTTCGGCTCAGGTCATGGTCCCGGGGTCCTGGGATCAAGCCCCGCATCGGGCTCCCTGCTCGGCGGGAAGCCTGCTTCTCCCTCTCCCACTCCCCCTGCTTGTGTTCCTGCTCTCACTATCTCTCTCTCTGTCAAATAAATAAATAGAATCTTTAAAAAAAAAAGAAAAAAGAAAATCCCATGGCTAATTTCACACAGTGCAAATAAAAATCCACTTATTGACAAAATGATCTAATTAACACATGCTTACTCAATAGTTTTGGTTATGAATAATTTTTAAATGTAATACCAAAATTATAACTGTGCTGTATTCCATATCTTAAATTCGTTTTTTCCACAGATTAAAGTACCTTATAAGTTAAAACCACTCATAAATTCCCCTGTACTGAGAATAATTCTTAAGTAGCAAAGATAAATGGATAAATGGTAATAGCATATTTGTTTAACTCTTCTTATCAGGCATCATGTCTTCTTACTATATATATGTAATATAATATATATTATTATGTATAATATATAGTATGTTATATATCATACATATTTCCATAACCTATATACAAAAAGCACACACGCATGTATTCACTACTGAAATTTCCTAATCTATCATTTTCCTTATCTTATCTTCTTCCCCTGAGGTTCCTTTTAGTTTATTTCTGGTTCTTATGCTACACTCTAGCTCTAATTTTAAAAATCCTGTCATCTAAATCATGAAACGTTGCCTTTCAGGTTTCTTGTCTTTTGTCCAGCCCAATTCTCGAGGAGTACTAATATAGAGGACAACTTTTTTTTTTCTGAAATTCTTTTCTATCTTTTGTTTCTCTGTGTTCAGTCTTTTTCCATTTTTGCTTATTTATGTGATAAATATTATTGTATTCCCTCCTGCGGAGCTACTTAAAATTTAGCAAGTTCTGCCTAACCATAATAGTTCAACTAGATCTTTAAATATTATGGAGTAGGAGTAACAAAACAGAGAGAAGTTACTAATTTAATATGTAATCAACATCCTTGGGAGCCAAGAAAAGGGTGTACATTTGACATTTCTACCCATCTCCTCAACTCTTCCTTAGAGGCAGAGTAGGGCAGAAGAATCCACTTCATATAGAAATGAGATTGTAAGAATGAAGAAAATGTAAGTTTTGACATTCTGGATGAGAAATGTAATTTATTGAGTGATACTATGTAGTAGCACTATGCTGGATACTTCATGTAAATTAGGGTTTATTTAGGCTTAACCATTCTTCCAGGTAAGGAAATTATCTTCACCTTTTACAACTGGGAAATTCAAGACCAGAGAAATGAAATAAAAGTTCATGAATTCTAAATTCAGGACTGTCATCTCGTTTTGACGGAATCTAAATGTATATCCTTACAAATATTATTTAGTGATATTTGTGATAGTGATATTGTGATATTTAGCAAATCTTTAGTGAACCCTTGTATTTCTGAAAAAAATAATCAACCGCAATAAGCCATCTATTTTTTTAGTTTTTATCTGGAGTACACTAAGGGATTCAATATGTTATTTACATGTCCAAATTAGATTATAAGTCCCACCTGAATGGGAATGAATTATTCAGGCTTATTAAAGATCAGAAAGTACAAGAAGTATATTACAGAATGGCCTTATCAATATTCAAAGTTAAGTCTACCTCCACCCGCCCAGTTGCCAGAGTAACCTTTGATAGTTATTCAAAGATTCAGTCTTTCCTGAACATTCTTAATGAGCTCTGGGTAGCTATAAATAGAGCAACTGCAGTTGGCTTCAGGCTAAGGAGGAAGCACAGAATAGCCTAATGGAAACAAAAGAATGGGAAGAGGTTTAATGTATCTCTTGTGTGGGAAGAACGGTGAGATCCGCTGAGTTAAGGATAAGGAAATGGTAAGTTCGGTAAGGAGTAAAGTCAGACAGATGATAGAGCTTGGCAACACTGATGTATTTGGAAATAATCCAAACGTATTAAAATACAAAAATAAATATCCCTGTATGTAAAATATCATAGAATGGCAGTTTATGTATCCAATAAATATAAATTGAACATCTACTCTGTACACAAAACAAAAATTTCATGCCTTGAAAGAGCTTATAGCATACTGGCATAAATTGCACAGGTATAAAAATAATTCGAATATAATTTTAAAATGTGTAAGCCCTATAAGAATGGTATCATTATGGTATACAAGATTCCAGAAGAGGACGAAATATGTGGTGAGGTCCTTTAACTAGGAGGTTACTCTGATAGGGACAGGAACATAGAAGAACATGGTATCATAAAGGAGGCAAATTACATCCAGAGTATAAAAAATATATAAACCAAACACAAATATTTGCATTATACTAACAGAGATAATCCAGTTGGAAGCATAGTGATAGGTCAGACTCTAATCTACTCTTGAACTGAACTGGGTGTTGCAGGTAGGAAGGGAAGTAACATGTTTTCAACTTATATAGAGGTAACAAAGGTTATAGCTTGCTCTCTAGATGTAAAATGAATTAGATGTCATTAGTTCCTGGAGTTAAGCTAAGGAGTGGCCTATCTCAGCAGAGTCCAAAGAAAAATAAAGGCCAGATAATTTCAATGAGGAAGGATCTAAGAGAGTGAGTTGTAACCAAAGGAGTCAAATAAAATTCTCCTGGTCTAGAATTTTCTATTTGCAGATAATGTAAGAATTTCTAGCCTGCAGCAAGTGTTTATTCACCCAGGCCATGTGAAAGCAAACATGCCCTCCCAGCCAGCCCGGCGAAGATTGATAATTCTAACCCTATTACCTTTGTGATAATCGCGTCATTATTTTTATGTTCTTTATATTAACTCTAATCATTGCACAGTTTTCTGAGAGCTGATTTGTCTTTTTCTTTTTTAAAGATTTTATTTATTTATTTCAGAGAGAGAGAGAGCATGAGTGCAGAGAGGGGCAGTGGGAGAGGGAGAAGCAGACTCCCTGCTGAGCAGGGAGCCCAATGTGGGGCTGGATCCCAAGACCCTGGGATCATGACCTAAGCCTAAGGCAGATGCTTAACCGCTTAACCGACTGAGCCACATAGGCGTCCTGACAGCTGATTTCTTAGAGAAAAGACACAGTAGGTGTCCATTATGAATGCAATGAATATAGGAACTTTATAACCTAGTGATCTTTGTCTATAAAATATCTGTAGATATTACTGAGGAAACTATTAAAAATACCAGTAGTGAGAAAATTGCTGTGTGATTTGTGCTTTTTCACTAGCAGAGCTTGATGCAAAGAAATTCTCGTCACTTTATGTGGTTGTGGAAAGTGCCATTAAGTTTATAAAAATACATTCTTAAATATTCCTGAAGTTCTCAATTGGTTATACATTCATTTTTTTTTCCCATCTGGCAACCAAAGGATACAATGAAATACATGGTTCATAATAAGTCAGGGACAACCACCAAAGATTAATAAAATGTATAATTTTCAGGGTGCTTGGGTGGCTCAGTCGGTTAAGAGTCTGCCTTTGACTCAGGTCATGATCCCAGGGTCCTGGGATCCAGCCCTGAGTCACGTTCCCTGCTCAGTGGGGAGTCTGCTTCTTCCTCTCCCTCTCCCCCCACCAACTCCTGTGCATGATCTCTCTCTCTCTTAAATAAATAAAATCTTAAAAAAAATAAATAAAATGTACAATTTTCTTACCAGCAGAAAAGAATTAAAGGTATCCAGTGGAATTTAAGAAAGGAATGGAAAAAGGTCAAAAGCAAAAAAAGAAAACTTAGTAAATTCAAAATATGAACTAAAGCCTGTGTGGCTCAGTAGTTAAGCATTTGACTCATGATTTCAGCTCAGGTCATGATCTCACGGGTCGTGAGATTAAGCTCTACATCGGGCTCCACACTCAGCAGGGAGTTTGCTTCTCTTTCTCTCTCCCTCTCCCACTGCCCCTCCCCCCACTCACTCTCTTTCTAAAAGAAATCTTTAAAAAATTAATTAAAAAATAAAATATGAACAAAAATATAAGACATAAATCCCAATAAAGGGTAATGATAAATATAAGTGGCTTAAATTCACAAATATAAAATGCAGATATGCTCAGATGTGACTTAAAAAGCTCACGCTATACTGTCAGCAAGAGACAAATTTAACATAAATGTTGACAGGTCAGGTCTCTAAACACACATACATATCCCAGAAAGACTTTCGGGGAAACTTGACAGATAAATTTTAAAGTTATTTGAAATCTGATGCTATCTAGGAACACTTGAGACAAATTTTATTATTATTTTTTTAAGATTTTTATTTATTTGACAGAGTGAGTGAGAGGGAGAGAGAGAGCACAAGCAGGGGGAGAGGGAAAAGCAGACTCTCCACTGGGCAGGGAGCCCAACGTGGGGCTTGATTCCCAGGACACTGGAATCAGGACCTGAGCCAAAGGCAGATGTTTAACCGACTGAGCCACCCAGGTGCCCTGAGACAAACTTTAAAAAGAACCGGAAGGAGTACCTTTCATTCTCGATTAAAGGATGTCAGGCATCTGTCAAGTTTGGGGAGAAACTCTGTACCCTTATCAAAGTTATTCAGCTCTTTTGTGAGGTAGTATAATTCTCATTACTCCCATCAAGTTATTACAGCTAAGAAATTATTCATGGGAATGTAGATTCAAGTCAAACATTTATTGACTAAGCACTATCTTCAAGATATTGTGTTGATTACTGAGAAAGAAAGAAAGAAAAAACATAACACATCCTGTTTTTAAGGAGTTTATCATCTTCCCCCGGGAGGATATCATGAAGTAGGGGGCCACTCCCTGTATGTTTATACACACAAGTGGTCCTTCTGTACTTGACACATACCTGTTTTGCAAGACTAGTAGAATGACCTTACCAAGGGCAGGGTGACCCCGTGCAGAGCCTAGCTCTTACAATTTCCTTTGGCTAAGGTTTAAGTTTTACTAAACCCCAAGATCTTATGTGAAGTGTATTTATAAAATGGGATAACCAACAAACTTGTTAAACAGACACTAAAACAGAAATTTTATTTCCTAATTCTGCAGTTTTGTAATTTAAGAGCTAAATGATCATCAAACATGGTAGAAATTATACATAAACACATACACACACACACACCCCCACACCCATACCCCGACTCGCAGGATAAAAATCCTAATAATTACAAAGTCCAACAGTCACTTTAGCCTTGCTTTCTGTTACATTTCTGGAATTAAATTAAGACGTAGTTTTTAAATAAACAAGTTAAGCCAGGATTGACAAATATTTTTCTGTAAAGGGCCAGATGGTAAATAGCTCAGTTAGTGCACATTGTAGGGTCGTTGTCATGATTCAACTCTGCTGCTACAGCAAAAAGTAGCCACAGGTAATATGCAGATGGATGACTGGAGCTCTGCTCCAGTAAAACCCTAGACACTGAAATTTGAATTTCATATATTGATATATTTCATATTCTTTTTACATTTTTTCAACCATTAAAAAATGTAAGACCCATTTTTCGCTTGTAAGTCACACAAGACAGGTGGCAGGCTAGTTTCACCTATGGACCATAGTTTGCTAACTCCTAAGTTATACAATAAACTATGAGTTTTCTTCATATTTCCTTTTAAGATTTTTAAGACAGAATTATTTGCATAATTAGAAGCCTCAAATGTCTTCCCATTTGTAAAAGGAAATGCTTTGTTCTAGCTTTCTGCAACTTCGCTTTTTCTAGGTTAGGGGTCATTGTATTGATCCCATGAACGTTAAGAACCTTTTCTTCTTTAAAAGCATCAGTTTATTAAATAAGTTTAGACAATAAACATGGCGAAGACAGCTTACCAAATTAATCTGCACAGTTTTTTCCCAGTTTTTCTCATTATTCACGCCAGCATTATTGACCAAAATGTCCAATCTTCCAAAGTGGTCTACAACTTTTCTAAAGGTATCTAAGTAAAAAAAAGAAGACATAGATACAGTCTTGTATTCCATAGGTACATTTCAATCCTACCCTGTGCCCTGAAATTAATTTTCATTTATCTACTTTTATAATGAAAATTATACTCTTAGATTGTGACTTAATGCCTTGCTTCTCAAAGCGTGGTTTGTGAGCCAACAGCAACAAGAGCATTCCTCGAAACTTGTTGGAAATACATAATCTGGGGCGCCTGGGTGGCTCGGCTGGTTGAACACCTGACTCTTGGTTTGGGTTCAGGTCATGTGAGATTGAGCCCCACTGGGGGCTCTGCACTCAGTGGGGAGTCTGATGGAAGATTCTCTCCCTCCGCTGCTCCCCCCAACTCGTGCGTGCTCGCACACTCTAAAATTCTGTCCTTAAGAAATTACTGAAGTTCTGTGGCTTAGACTATGACAAACACCCTTTTTTAATAAGCCATATTATCTTTATAAAGTGTTATATTAAACACAAGTCGTCTTGTGTATTCAGATCCATTATGATCATTTCAGGGGGTCTGATACTCCAGCAAGTAAAAGTGTACTTTTCATTCAGTTGATTTGGATACTGTAACTTCAATATTTACTATTCATTCTTTTCTCTTCGTCACTATTATTGTTACTTTGTATTACTAGTTTGTGTAAAAACTATGTTCAACCAGGGTAAAGTCTGCATAGATCCTGAGGCCTGAAGTTCATTCATTATATTGCCCAACCACATACCCAGTCCAGGCCTTGCAAACCCTCCTTAGCCAGTTCATACTTGGTTTTACCACTTTTGTATCAGGTAACACATTATTTCTCAAAGCAGCCTTTGACAAGAGTTCTATAGATTTAAACTGTTTCCTTGGGCCGTTTACCATTGGTTCTAGCTCTATTACTTGAGACTATAGATAATATTCATGGCTGTTCTTCCAAATGACAGAAATGTATTCTCTGGTCTTAGGGCCAATATATGAGTTCCTTGAAAACAGTAAATCCACACAAACTTTATTTTGATTGAATAAAATCTAGAATTATTAACAACCACCAGGCATATTGAAGAGGGCATGGATTCATCAGTTCTCAAATGGATAAATTACTATGCAAGGTAATTGCCAAAAATATTGCAAAAGCCATTATTTACAGTACTTTACCATACTGGAATAGAAAACAAGAAAATAAAAACTGTTTACTTTTTCATGGAATTTTTAAACTGCTTAAAATCTCAAATTGATTCCAGAAAGGTCCTCTAGCAGAAAACATCTGAGGAATACTTTTTTTTTTTTTGCATTCCACCTGAAACATGTTCTACTTTTCAAAACTCACATCCATCTTATAGGAAATTAAGTTGTTAAGTACATAAGTCTAATTGCTTTTTAAATTTTCTTTCCTCATTCTGGTCTCTACTGTATTCCTTATACTCTGCCCTTATCAATATCTAATACATCATCTTCTCTCTGGCCTACACTGAATTTTGGGCTCAAATGGCTTACAATTAAGCTCTTGCTGACATTTAGAAGCTTGGGGAACTCTATAATTTACCCAAACTCTCCATTTGTATTTTTTTCATTTGTAATATGAATTATGTCTAGATCATCTCTAAGAAACTTTTCACTTCCGTATTTATGTGATTTCAAAGAAGTCTCTCTTGGCCACAGCCTAAACAGTTTCAAAAGCTGTAGATGGCATTAAATCCTGAAATTGTTAGAGTCAAGGCCATGTCTTCCTTAAATGCAAATAAATGCTGATGTTCAGACAACATGTGGATTTCTCATGACCAACATGCCTTCTTCTGGTCACTCATTATGTGTCTGAGTTTCCTCCTCCACAATCACTTATCCTTAAGGAATGTGTTTACAGCCAAGATACTAATTTTAAATACTGGGAAGCAAAACAATTAAGGTTAAATGTCACATGTGAAACTACATAAATTAAGGCAGAAATAGCTTTCAGATGATCTATACTGTTTCCTATTTCATCAGCATGGATGTTGGGATTTGGCATGACTTTATCCTTGATCCAAAATATCATGCACAATCAACAGAACTTTGTCCTCTGGCAAAATATGTTCCACTAGCACTGTGGTTCACAGATCTCTTCTAGTTGTGCTTGTAATTCATGTTATAGGTCTTTATTAGCATTTTCAGATTTAATTACATAATTTCCTTTAAAACAATTTCCTTTAGCTGTGGGGGAACACTCCCTTCTAAGGTACTGCTCCATCTTCACCCTCTTATAGAATATCCCAACATTTCAAAGAAATTCTCATGTTCAGTGTTCGTTTAAGAACAGGAGTACTAGAATGACTTTTATGGAAGATTTTTGGCCCCTTCATTAAAGATGTGCCTAACAATTTAGTCTTCCAATAAAACTTTGTGAAATACATGTATTTTATTTTTCTACTTTTTTTCCAGAAAAAGGTGTTTTTTTTTATGCGAATCTTCAGGCCTCCATATGACCAAATCTGTTTATTGTACACACCAATATTGTCCTTGATATCTCACAAGTAGATTTTTCTATTTTAAGGGAGTAGACCAGAAACAGGAAAGCGTTGAGGAAAGTCTGATAGAAATTTTTCTTCTGCAATTCTAACACTGCAGTACAGCTATTACTATTTTTAAAGTACCATTTCAGAGGGGAAAAACCAGAGAGAACATTTGGTTGAAAGCATCTAGCACGTCTCTGATGATGATCCTTGATCTTGCATTCTAGTATGTTTAAAAGGAAACATTGCCACATTTGGTTGTCATTGGACTCTGCATCTTCCAGCGTTCTGGGAGAAGTTGTTTGCCACACAGTCCCTTAGCCTACTTCCAACTTTCCAAGTTCCATCTGCAATTTCAATCATTTAATAATTACTGCTGCAGCACAGTCTTTGAATACACAAAGGAATTTTGATTACATTATGTGCTGCCAAATGACTAAAATAAAAGATTTCTCAAGCAGTCTCGGTTTTCCCCCCTTGGTCTTTATAGCTATCGGGATGTGGGTAGGAAACCTAACAGTCCAAGCTATCTACTAGAGCGTCTAAGTGGCTGCTCTCCAGGAGGCAGCCGATCTGCCTGCACCCAGGCTGGCTCTCTGGCCCGGGCTGCCTTCAGGTCGTTGCTTGTTCAAGGCATGTTCCGATGGATGGATCAGATTTGATGGATCGATTCCCCCTCTCTTACCTCTCAGTTGTTCCTGGTCTGCCACATCGCACTGGATGAAGAGAGTCTTCTGAGGTTCAAACTGCTCATCCAAGGCAGCTTTACACTTTACACCTGCTTCAAGATTCCAATCGACCAGCGCTACCTAGAGACAAGAGGAGAGGCATCAAGGTCCTGCGCAGCTTGTGAAACAGACGAACAGTAAATAAACACCAGGACGCTCTCCTCTTGGACCTCAGATTCTGCAGTTAAAGTTGGGGGTCTCTCCCCAGCCGCTTCGGAGGTCTGCTCGAGACGGTCAGCCTCAGCAGCTTTTGAAAGCGGCAAGGTGGGCAGCCCCGGGCGCGGCGCCCTGGCTCCCCGGGGAGTCATGTGGCTGGGGGCGGACGAGGGTCGGGGTGGGAAGACAAGTTTCCGCGGCCGGGCGCCACACTTACCTTGGCGCCCTTGTGCAGGAGCGCCTCCGCAAAGGCTCTGCCGATGCCCTGCGCCGCGCCGGTCACCAGCGCCACTTTGCCATTCACGTGCATGGTGCGGCCGCTGCTCCGGGGCGGTGGGCGAGCTCGGCGTCTCGGCGCGGCTGCAGCTTTTATGGCCCCCTGCGCGCGCGCGTGCAGCCAGCCCTGCCGGGCGCTCTCCTGCGAGTGGGCGGGGATGAAACTGTCAAGCCCGCGCCGGGGAACCCACGGCTGTGTCACCTGGCCCTGAGCGCTCGGAGAAGCCAAGCTTCGCGATCTTTGCCTTCCTGACTCTCAGCCCGGGTCAGAGCCTCCCCTTGGCCTCTGACTGAGCGGCTGGCTGGGCTCTGACAGGAAAAACAAAACAAAACAAAACAAAACAAAACAGATTACCTTCAGTGCGCTAAAGACCACCGGGATAAGAGGAGGGCAGAGGAGGGGCTTAGGAGCTTGGTTTCCTCCTCCTACCCGAACGTCCTCCCCTCTTTCGCCGCCCCCCCCAATAAGAAACAAAAACAAGCAAACAGCAAAATCTTAGGGGTGTTGTTCTTTGTCTCGATCTAAGTTTACGTCTGAATTCCCATGTCTTGGCGATCCGAGTGTCAATTGTGTGTCATCTTCACTTGCACAGGACTTCCAGAGTCGCTGTTAGCCTGGTGAACTGTTGGTTCAATGGAATGCTTACTCATTGAATCATACTAGCTTTGGAGGCTCTGAGTTGCCAGTATGGGAAAGAGGTTCTCAGTCCTCCAGGAACTTGAGTATAAGCTGTGTATCCAAGATGCATTCAGCCAGGGCTGTTCTTCTGACCTAATCACTTTTTTTTTCTTGTTATCACCTGCAGGCTTCAATTTTAATTCTGTAAGCTTAATACCTGGTTGGCATGTATTATGAAACCTAAGCATTTGGGGAGATGAAAGTCAGGCAAAAAGGCTTGACTAACAGCAGAATGAAGCCTTTGTGTACTTCCTTGCTGCTTATTGGAGATATGGGTGAAGGTGACTGGGTCAGCACTGAAGGTGTTTGGGCGGGCTGTGTGAAATACATGTTGTCAGTAAGCCGGAAGAAAGACTTCCAAGTTGATTTGAAATTGGGTCTTCAAAAAATGTTGAGAAGTTAAGACAGGAAAAGAGATTTACATTCTATCATGATCATTAAAAGTCATAATATGAAGAGTGCGTTGAGGGATCATATTGAAAGAGAACAGCGGAGGACAAAAAAAAAAAAAGGAAATAAACAAAAACCCATACCTCTAGTGGCATGCACAGAACAGAGAAGAAAAGGAATGAGCTCCTCAGCGGGAAGGAACTACTAACAGAGAAGGAACCACTAGAGGAACATTGGACCATGTTGGGAGAGCAAAGTGTTGTAGCACATATGGGGGAAAATAGATTCAAGAAGAAAGGAGTGGTTAATTATACAGACACTCTAAGCAGCACAAGGAAAAGACAGATGGAGGAATGCTTTGGATTTTTCAAGAAAAGAATTAGTGTGAATAAATTTACAAGGCACAGAAACCAAATGGCTGAAATTTAAGGAGAAAATGGCTGGGGAGAAGATGGGTATCGTAAGAGTTCAAGATATTACCTGGAAAGAAATAGATCAGACAGTAGTCAGAAAGATCAGAGGAAAAACCAGTTTTTCCTCTAAGGAAGGACAGGAGGACTGATTCAGCTTAAAAGGCCAGGAGTCTGTGAGAGTGAGAGGAACCAGAAGCAGTCTGCGGGTGCAGAAGAGCATTGGCTTCAGACTCACACAAAATGAGTTTGGATCTCACCTGACCAGCAGTCTGACCTTGGGCAAGTTTCTTCAACTCTCTGTGCCTCAGACTTCTACTTAGTAGAGTAGCAATTCCTATAAGAATTTGGTGAAAAATAAATTATGTAATACATATAAAGCACTCTTTCAATGTCTGGCACAAAGTCATGCAATAAATATCTGTTCTAACTAATTACTTCTGGATTATCCATAAATAATACATGTGAGCTAGAAAAGAAAAGGTGAGAAACAGTTTTTTGTTTGTTTGGTTATTTATTTATTTATGTATTTATAGTACATAGGAAGAACTGGGATCTAGGGCAGTTAGTACCTTTTAATCCCTTTCCTCTCAGCTTCCATTGTCACCATCTTTGTTCAGACCCTTAACTTTCTCCTGGGATAGCAATTGAATTAACATCCTGAATTACTTTGCCCACAAATTTCCTAAATCCAGTTCAGCTTCCACACTCCTTCCAGGAAAAGTTCTAACCTATTGATCTAGTCATGCTTGGACATTCTCACTTTCAAAATCCGTAAAATACCCAAACTCTCGGGCACCGCATGGTAAGAGGGCATAGCCTTCCACACCTCGGGTCTTTCTTGTAGTCTCTCTTTAGAGTCTAGGAAGCGGAATCAGTTAAAACCTACCCCACTCGCCAAGCCTCGGGCCCTTGCCTTCTTCTGTCTTCTCACCTGAGGATGTTTCCCTACCTAATTTCTTCTCTTGTCTTTCAACTCAGCTATGAAAATTCTACAGTGAAAACACTGATTGCATTATTCTAATGATCTGACTAACCCTGTGTGTCCAGTTTTCCTTGAAGGGAGAACTGGGTCTTTTTTTCGGAGTATCTCCAGCATCCAGCACAGGGCTACCCAAAGCGTGTGCTTGTACATGTTGAATGAAGAAAAGTACAGATAAATATGAGATATGTGTTTGAGAGAAGATGGAAAATTTGAACTAGATGATGAGATCCTCCATATATTATGATTACCCTTTTTACACAACTTACAAGACTGGAAATAATACATTGGTATGGTATTTTTTGAAGCAGAGTGTCTTGATACTTTTTTTCATATTTTGTACTAAATGTACATTTTGACTTAAAAATACCTATAGAACATTATATATGTATATTCTAAAACCAAAAAAAGTATTCTTTACCCAGTAAACACATCTCCCTGTGGTTACTGATATACATTTCTCAGTTTCTGTGTTGATAACATTATTCAGTTTCATTGACACTAGCTATATAATTTTATCATCAAAGTAATTTGTGTAATTAAAAAAATAATTCTTAGGTGAAACTAAGTTAAATCTGGAACAAACCATCATTCACATAATTTTGCAAAGCATTCCTATTTACAGGTTATACTTTATTTAGTAACTTCTAACAAAATTCTCTTTAAATGGAAACAGATAAAATGCAAAATTAAATAATAGATTAAAAGGGATGATTTTTCTCTCAATACAATTGCAGGTATTGGGTATTGACTATTTATTCATCTCATAAAGTCTAAAAGCATGGCCTCTGCAACAAACTGCCTGCCTCTGAATTGAGCTCCACTGCCTCCTAGCTGTGTGACCTTGAACAGGTTACTTAACTTCTCTGAATCTCAGCTTCTTCATCAGTTAAATGAGGATGAAATAGTACCTATTTCACAAAGTTGTTGTAGGACTATACTGAGTTAAATAAATTCAAGTGAAGTGCTTAGACCAGTGACTGGCACATAGCAAATGCTCTGAAAATGCTATTATCATTAAGCACTATACATATATAATTGCATTTATTATTTACAACCAAACAGTGACGTAGTTATTATTGTGGTCATTTTACAGATGAGGAAAATAGGTTTAAGAACATTAGGGAATTTGGCCAAGGTCACTTATCTAGAAAATTGAAGGAGGTGGTTTTGAGTCAAGGTGTGGTACTAAGTGGTACTTCTTTTTATTTTTTTTAATTAAACTTTTTGAGATAATTGTAGCTGAGCAGTAGTTTTAGCCATGATTGAATAGTGATTTCTTTAAGAAAGGCAAGTTAAAAATAGACTTAACTTCAAGTCAGAATTCCTAAACAGATATATATTAGGATTATATATGCTAATCAGATATATATATATAGACACACACTAGTCTTTCTTTGTTGGCTCAGTTCTGACCTGCTAAAACCAACCAGTCTTAACTTGATTTTCCTTCAACCCATGCCCAGGTTGCGCATAGACATCCCAAGATGCAACTAGTCATGGGCCAGGTTAAAGATAGAGACAAATCAGTCACCTGATAGATATCAGCTTATTTAATTTTTAATTGATCGCATATAAATCAATATAGAAATAGACTTTTTCTTTGTGAAACCAAAAAGCACTTCTGAAATAAGTCAGTTTCTGCAAATGCTGGGGTCAAGGATTCTTGTTTTGACTTTGCCTGCACAAGCTAGAATAGAGGAGCTGACTATGTTTGAATCTATACTATGTTCTTATTCTTTTGTGTATCACATTTAATCCTACAAGATACATAGTATTATCCTCATTTTACAGTTGAAGACACTGAGGCTCATGGAAGGCAAATGATCCGTCCCGAAGTCACACTCTGCCATTTAGCCACAAACCTGACTTCAAACCCGTCATGCAGCTCCCAAAGCCTTTGCTCTTTCTGTGCCGCTTGGCTGTCTTGGACAGATGTATATTCAAATACAGTCTCTTCCTCTTTGCTAATTGTACGATCTTGAGTTGATTACGATTACTCAACCTCTAGAGTCCTGAGTTCGCTGAGCTGTTAGGTGGAGAAAAGGTTGGCAGACCATGGAGCACCTGGTACAGTGCCTGGCACATACTTGGTGACCCATGAATTATTACTATTAGGTTATTCTTCCTTAATGTTCATATTTCTTTCTGGACTTAGATATAAAGACTTAGTCCAAAATGGAAAAACAGTGATGATAAGGGCAGAGTTTCAGCTAGTCTGTGAGGGCTGCCATAAGAAAATACTCTGTGACTTAAATGAGAGAAATTCAATTTCTCACAGTTCTGGGGGCTGGAAGTCCAAGATCAAGGTGTCGGCAGATTTGGTTCCCCGAGATCTCTCTCCTTGGCTTGCAGATGGCTGCCTTCTCCCTGTGTCTTCACCTGGTCTTCCCTCTGTGCACAAGCCCCTGGTCTCTCCCTGCCTATTCAAATTTCCTCTTCTGACGAGGATACAAGTCAGATTGGATTAGGGGCAACCCTGAAGGCCTTCTTTAAAGTAATCACATATTTAAAGGCCCTATCTCCAAATACAGTCACTTTCTGAGATACTGGGGGATTCCACAGATGCATTTGGGAGGCAGGTGGTAACACAATTCAGCCCACAACGGATAGGTTTTCCAATT